CACACACACACACACACACACACACACACACACACACACACACACACACACTCTCAGAAAACAAACACAGGCACACAAGTTTTTTGGTAGAAAGTAAAAAAGCGATAACGCTGAATCTTTAGACTGTGATACATATAATGTTATTAGCTCTGATCCATATTGGCTTCTATCACTGACAGACTGCATGACGAGTGCAAAAACGTCACTGAGATTGAACGAGGACCCTCAGCGCTGCGTTTTGTGACGCCATTAATGCAGGGAAAAACAAAAACAGAACAAAACAAAACAAAACAAAAAAAACGACACGTGAAAAAATAAATACGTTTATCTTATATTGCAGTAATAGAATGAACACACGATTGGATCTTCTGTCTGCATTTTGTTTCCTTCTGGATATTCTAACAGTCTATGTTTCTTAAACACGCACACACAAATACACACACACTCATGTCTCTTCACAGTGTTGGGACCTCGTTGCAAACCTGTTGGTCATTTTGCGATGACATCAGAAGAACACAGGCTGACAGTCAACACAACATGAAGAAATCAGTAATATCAAAACAGCATAAATAACAGGAACAGAACAGGTTGTATATATTTGGTTTCAGTAACTGATGAAAAATACCTGAAGTGAACGCATAACGCAACCAAATAATATGAAAAATACACCCAAAGATACTGAGAGTGGAATGTAAAGTATTTTTTTTTAAATATTACTGAATTATACTTTGTGTTCAAACTATTTGTTGGCTGGTCACTGATGTTGCTTTAGATGATTAAAAATAAATGTGGAATAAATCCCACAGTAATAACTGCAAACAGAACCATCACATAGAATCAAACAAAGCTAAAAAATAATAAAAATAAATAAAAGTAACTGTTGCAACACGGTTCGGACTAATCCCATTACTGTTTCTAGATCTTGGTGGGAAAGAGACTGAATGAGTTGAGGAGATGTTTGAAAAGAGGCAAACACGGTACAAATTAGCCCCCTTGTCCAGTGGATTTTCAGTGTGTGTCCAGGAGAGGGCGCCCCCAGGAAAGTTAGACCGGGGCCTTCTTGTGGGTCAGGGATTGGTCAGATTGCGTTGGTCACAATGTAGTCTCTGTGGTTGTCGCTGCTGGGCTCGGGGGTGATGCTTTTCAACAGGCGCTGTGGAAAGAAAAATGCAAAATGAATAAACTCTACCACTTTTTATCCCCATAGACTGGTGACAACATGAATTAACATGAATAAACCTGCAATTAAAATGCATTTACTGATTAAAAAATGGATTTTGCATGATACGTCCCCTTTAAGAGAATGAGCAAGGAACGTCAATCACTGGCCAGGTTTTGAACCCGATCAGCTCAGTCCTCCAGACCTCCATGATTGCTTCTTCCTCTCCCTCCCTCTCAAATATACACAACAAACAGACTCCTGTTTGTTGACTTGTGTCGAAGCCATTGTGCGTTTTGGCAGTAGTGTCAATATTGGGCCACGCCGGAGAAAATCTGTCCACAGGCCTCTTTGATGTCGTTCTCCCCTTCAGTCAACCCTCACACAGGTCTGAATGAGACCTTTACAATAGTGATGATAAAAACATTTGTATTTGTTCAGAGAGGTGCTGCACGATGGACAAACAAGCAGGAAAACACCTTCATTAAGCCCTGCAGTAATGACGATTTGACTGGACTTAGTTGGATGCTATTGTACGGCTGATCTATGGCCTCTTATGGTTTTCAACCTTAATCTGCAATGCAACTGTCTGCACATTGATGTCTGCTCGAGTGCACAGGCCTACATACACTGAAAAAAATGATTTTTGGGTGTAGTAACATTTATTTAATTATTCTTTTAAATTTTACAAAAAATATCAAAATTTCTAAACTACTAGAATTTACTACATAAACAAAACACATTATATCGTATATCAGTATTACTA